ATTCCCACCTTTTTTACATACAAAACTCTCATTTTTTTGTTATTGTGATCATTATACTATCTAAGATTGTACTACCTTTAAGGATATAGTTCAAACTTTGATTAACGAGAATCACGTGAAGTTTAAAGAACTAGTTAGTGATCTTAATGATTTATAGTGGTGGAGTTGAGGTTAATAATGCTAAAGCTAAAATGTCAAGAGAGGAACTTTTATTTCTATAAATTTGAGTGTCATCTCAAGAAAACTATTAGGAATGTGAATTTTTGGATCAGATTTGAATGTTTGCATTGCATGAATAGATCTTGTACATTATAAGTGTTTCATGGATTTATATTGTTATTTGATGTTTTCAATTTCTTTTAAATTTTGGACTTATAAGTTTTTCTTGAAAAAAAAAATGCTATATTTGAATAAAGCCCCGTGTAGTGTAAGTATCAAAGCTATAGAAAAAGATATGCCTTTAAGGAAAAAGAGAAAAAAAAGGAAAATAATGAAAAAAAGAAGTCTCTTGTAGTAGTTTACAAATTCCCACCTTTTTTACGTACAAAACTCTCATTTTTTTTGTTATTGTGATCATTATACTATCCTTTTGGCCAATGAAAGAGCTTTTTTAATTCCACATCATCATTAAATTTTTCAGCCTTTAAATTTCTTCTAGAAGCCTTAAATAATAGCAGCCAAAAATTCTCAAATTTAAATCTTTTAGGTTCAGTTAACAGGTAGTGCATGTGCATCTTCTATAGTGCTATTGTAGTGCCAATCTCCACTCTTCATTTCTTTAATTTGATCAAGGTTAAAATTAATTCATCAAATTAGTGCTTAAAAACCTTGATTCTTATCTTTAAAGTTTTAACCTACACAAATCACATAATATACAAGTTTAAAGGAATTTGAAAAAAAAAATTGCTAAAGAATAAGCTTAAATTAAGTCTAAAATGGTAAAATTCATACAATAAAATATAGAATTATCAAGCATTTTGATAACTTTACTCCTTTTTAAATGCAATCAAAATTTTTAATGCATCAAAATTAAAATAATATTTAAACATGATTTGAATGTTTCACCGCAAACGACATTTTCATAATTTTACCATTTTAAGATGTAATTAGGATTTTTAATGTATCAAATTCATAAAATAATATGTAAATATGATATGGAGTTTTCACAAAAAAAAAAAAAAAGGAAAAACCTTAAAAAGCCAAATTACAAAAATATTCCTAAAAAGCATTTTCATAATTTCACTTATTTGAGGTCAAACAAAATTTTTTATGGTTCAAATCATAATTTTATTACTAATGAGCCTCAATAGTTCTTATCAATCACAAAATTCAAAGATTGACTTAGGTTTGGTCAAATTTGACTAAATTTGACTAGTTTGATAAAGTTGACTTTTAGATTGATTTTTGACTTTTCCTTGATTTTGTTATTCTTCTTAAATTGACCTAAGAATCAATTTATTCAAAAACTAAGGAATTTTTGTAAAGTTTAAAAAATCTTAGAAAAGACCCGAGTCTTGATTTTCAAAGCATTACGTTTAAACAAAACATGTTTGGACAAAATAAGGCTTTTACAATAAGTAGTTGCCACTTTTGTTCCATTGTAACCCTTGGTTAAATATGATAATAAGAAAATGTTACTCTGAGTTTTTCATTAGCCAATCTCCTTACTTTCACACATCTTTCTATGGAGACAATGATTCTTGTTATACCAAATTAGCCAACAATATATTTGTATAGTTCTAGTGAAAAATTAGTTCTTGATCATTTCATTTTGTATGATTAAAGTTTATAAAATTCTATTAGTCAAATTATGTCATACGTCCATGTGCTGTGCCAAATTTTGGAATTTAGTCCATATATTGTAATTCATATAAAATTAGTTCTCATACTATTTTGATTTGATAATCTTAATATAATAACTAAATCTGTCAATTTTTTACTATTAAAAATGCTAATGCGGCTATTAACTTGATGATGTGACATTAAATTTGCTAATGTGATATTGACTTTGCTATTTTGGTAATTTAGATGGATGAAATTAGTTGTTAAATTATGCAAAAAATCATTGTATTCACACGAAATTTGAAATTAAGTCTTGTAATATAATTTCTTAAAAATCTCGTCATTATACAAGTTAATTTAATAATGTTGTTATAATTACAAATAAAAATCATATTTTTTTGCAATTTTAAAAATTAGATTCTAATACTTTAAAAAAATCAATATTTTTATTTTTTTAGAATTTTTTTATTTTTAAAATATTAAATTTAATATTTTAAAAAATTTTAATTTCTTAAAATAATCATATCTTTTGATTCATTCAAAATTAGATTATATTTCTTTAAAAATTTTAATTTTTAAGTTTTTAGATATTTTCTAGATTTTTTATAATATTAAATTTATTTTTTCATTGTTTTATTTTTTTTTAATTTCATTTTTTGAAAGTTTTTGTTTTGTTTTTAAATTAACATTTTTATTTGAATAAAATATTTAATTTAATGTTGTTAATTTTTGGATTTTTTTCTATTTTTTTTCTAATTTTTAATGTTTTAGAAATTGTTTATAATTTTTATCATATTTTCAAAACATGTTAAATTTTGAAAAAATAAAATATCAAAAGGATTTTTTTAATAAATATTTAAATATTGAAAAAATAAATTTAATATTTTTAGAAAACTAGAAAATTTTCTTAAAAAATTCAAAATGTCAAATTAAAAAAAATAAATCTAATTTTTAAAACTTCAAAAATATGATTTTTTTGAAAATTAAAATATTTTTAAAATATTAAATTTAATATTCTTAAAATATGAAAATTTTCTAAAAAGATTGCAAATAATGATTTTAAAAACAAATAAAATTTGAATTTTTTTTAAAATGTAAAAATATGATTCTTATTAATAATTGTACCAATATTATTAAATTTAACTTATACGAGAACAAGATTTTTATGAAATTATATTAAAGGCACTAAATTTCAAATTTCGAATGAGCATAATGATCATTTGTATAATTAAAAACTGATTTCATTTATTTAAGTTATTTTTTTAGCAAAGTCAACACCACATCAGTAAGATCAATGCCACACCGACAAGGTCAGCGTTATACCATGAAATTAAAGGTCACGCCAATATTTTTAATTACAAAAAATTAATTAAGTTAGTGATTATACTAAAATTATTAAATCAAAATAATATGATGACTAAATTTATATAAATTATAGTTTAAAAACTAAATTCTAAATTTTAACAAAATTTTAAAATGTTTGACATAAATTAACAAATTCTATTTCATTGTAATTACAACAAATGAACTTGAAAATAGTTGAAATAAAATTCAATAAAGATAATAGTAATTAACTTATGGTATCCTTCAATATTGACATTACACAAATCTTACCTACATTTATTTTTTATTTTTAATGTTTTGATTTTCTATATTATATAATTTATTTGCATAACATGCATTTTTTATGTTTTTAATTTATGTTTTTATTTCATTATTTTAAGTTGTATGAATTTTATTATTTATGAATTTAGTTTTTCATAAATCTATTATATTCATGAATTTAATTAATTGTGGATGAATATATTTTGTGTTTTGTGTCATTTAAATATTGAAGGTAGATTTATATTTATTATCAAATAGTATAAATAACAATAAATCAAATTTAAATTGCATGAATCTAATTATTTATTATGAATTTAGTCATTTATGAATCTTTGGTATTTATGCATCCAATTAAATGATGACAAATGTGCCAGTGTTTAATGTAATTTAAGTTTAACATATTTATTGAATAGTATAAATATATAAAAATAAAATCAAGATTACTATATTTCAGTTTAATTTTTTATGTTTCAATACATTGTAAAAGAATGAATTATTGATTTTGAATCATTAAAAATTTTTTTTTTTAGTTTATGCATAATGATAAACAATGAAGCGAGAGCAAATAGTAAGTAATGATAAAGAAAAATAATAAAATTGTGAAACAAGAGAAAACATCAATAATGGAAAATAAAATGAATGACAAAATAAATTAAATCTTAAATAATTTGAAAATTGTATTAATAGATAGGATATAGGGTAGTTAGAGTATTCTTCATTTCTATTTTTAGATTTTTATATTATATATTTTTCGTATTAATACCTTCATTTCTATTTTATTTCAATTTTATTTTTATTTCTATTATTGTGAGAATTTAATTGATACAATTAATCTTTGTACTGGTAACTTTCTAAAATATAAAATCTAAATTTTTTATTTTTTAGTTTCATTTTTTACATTTATGTAATTTTTGTAAAATATATTAATATATATTTTTTAAATAAAAATATATTAATTCTAATTAATCTAAAATAAAAATATAATTATTTAATAAAAATTTTCTTTATTAAATATATATCAATATTTATAGGTATGGACACAATACAAATATTATATTATTCGTCCTCGATAAAAAAAAATTTAAATCGTATCTATTTATATTTATAATCTAAAAATTTAATTTCTATTCCCATCTTCATTAAAATAAAAAATTAAAATTTTCATTAATTATAAGTAAAATTAATATTTTTAATTTAAATAAACAAGAACCCCCGTAGGAATCATAAAACAATAATAAAATATAGGATACGGTCAAACGTTATAAGAGCAATAATAAAATTTTAAAAAATGAAAATAAAAAATTTCAAGATAAAAAAGTAATAAAAACAAAATTAATAATAAATCCATTTCATAAAACATCAATTGAATTCAGTAATGGAGTTTTTTTTTCGAGAAAATAATGTTGATTTTATTATTTCTCTTGTCCTGAAGAGAATTTACGAAGTCTCATAAAAAATATGTAAGAACTTTGAAAAATCCTCAATATTTATAAAAAGAAATAAAAAATTAAAAAAAAAAACTAATTTTGTAGGATTTTTTTTGACAAAAGTCTCAAGTTTATTATCATTTAAACAGGTCCAATAACTCTGTTATCAATTTAAATAAAAAATTTCTTAAGTTCCTTTAGGTCATCTTTTATATATGTCGGCGGCCAGATGTTAGAGCAGAAATCTCGTGAACCAAAAGTTTATCTCAAAATGTCTCTTTGCGGATTTGATGAAAATGATATTACATACTTTTCTCCCCAGCAAAGAAAAGATTTTTTCACAAGAATGACTCCTATAATTGAAGTGGTACGGGAAGAGGGAACAAGTAGGAGGAATGGGGTTTTCATTTCTTCCAAGCTTGTATTGACGGTAACTTTCGAAGATCTTGTTACCAAAGAATCTTACAACGATTTGTTGATAATTGTGAAAACGAATATTGGAGAAGAATTGACTGCAAAAGTTGCTTCCGTTTGTCCCACATCGCATTTGATGTTACTTCGTGTGAAGAAAAAGCAAGGACAAGTCAGTTATGTTGAATTTGCGGAGGATCAACCTGGATATGGAAGTGAGGTACAAGCCATTTACTGCAATGATATATCTGGATATTCTTACAGAAGAGGAATACTTTCATTTATTGGTAGAAAGTTCAGTTATGTATGGGATATCTTGCAGAATGGGACTGAGAATCAAAAACAATTTGCTGAAAAGCTTCCTATTGGGAAATTGGATTCATGTTGTGAATTGATTCAAACACATGGTTTGTATACCCGGCAGTACCATACCGCGGGAGCACCTTTATTCAACAACAAAGGAAGACTGATTGGATTAAATGCTTTTTTTGTTTTTGGCTTTGATTTTGGAATTTGTTTAAGTGAGTTAAGAAGATTCTTTGATACTTATTCTTTGGAAAAAAAGAGAGACAAGGAAAGAAAGAGACGAAAGAGAAAGAGAAGTCAGGACGAATCGGAAACAAAGAAGAAGAAAAACTATAAAGAATCCGAGACAAGAAAGAAAAGACAAAAGCATGGTGCTTCTGGTGCTTCACACACGCCTACGGTAAGTTCAAAAGCGTTTTGCAAGAACAGTAATTTACTTGTTTAGATTACAAACATTACAAATAATGAAGTCTGTTTGTTTCAAATGCTAATGAGTCAGAGCCGTTGTATGTTTGCTTAATACTAATTTATGTTCTTTTTTTGTAGACCGGTGTAAACAAAGTTGCTGATTTGGTTGAGGTCACTCTTGGACCAAAAAGCAGGAATGTTGTACTAGAAAGCAAATATGACTTCCTGAAAATTGTTAATGATGGTGTGACCGTTGCTAAGGAGGTATGTCCTTGCTCTAAACAGCTACTGAAGTTCAAAATAGGGTAGATTGTGAGACGTATATATTTCAGTAGACCTTGGATTTCTTTTTTTGTAAGTCTATTACTGTTCGGAATGTCAAATAGAATCCTTCTTTTCCTTATGACTTATCAATTAATGATTGAATGTTTTGCATGTATCAATTTCAAGGTTGAGTTGGAGGACCCGGTCGAGAACATTGGGGCTAAGTTAGTGAGGCAGGCAGCTGCCAAGACGAATAACTTGGCTGGCGGTGGAATGATAAAATCAGTTGTACTTGCGGAAGGTCTGATTGCTGAAGGTGTCAAGGTTTGTGCATTCATCTTCGTATCATTATGTTTGGTTATGTGAAGAGCAGTGTATTTTTAGTCATTGTCAAGATATTTGCAGTAATTGCTAAGTACAATTGTTATTCAGGTAGTGGCAGCTGGTGCAAACCCTGTCTTAATCACTAGGGGCATTGAGAAAACCACAAAGGCTTCAGTATCTGTGCTTAAGGATATGTCAAAAGGGGTAATTTCAATGCTTGCCCACTTTATTTTCTTTTCTTTTTTTTTTTTTTTTTTTGTATTTAAAGGAATGTATTGAGTGTGCCATGGGATTGCAGGTTGAAGACAGTGAACTTGCAGATGTGGCAGCTGTTAGTGCTGGGAACAACTATGAAGTAGGAAATATGATCGCTGAGGCCATGAGTAAAAGTGGTCTAAAGGGTGTGGTTACCCTTGAGGAGGGAAAAAGTGCTGAGTATAGCCTCTACGTTGTTGATAGGATGCAATTTGATCGTGGTTATGTTTCACCTTATTTTGTCACTGATAGTGAGAAAATGGCATTGGAATATGAGAACTGCAAGGTAAATGTTATAACGATGGGGCCAAAATTTTCATTCTGATAAACATAAACCTTTCCTGCATTGAATGTTGACAATTTTAGTGTTGCATTCTGGTTTCAGTTGCTACTTGTTGATGAGAAAATAACAAATGCAAGAGATCTTATAAACATCCTGGAAGATGCTATTAGAAGTGGATACCCAATTTTGATAATTGCAGAAGAAATTGAACAAGAAGCCTTAGCAACACTGGTTGTGAACAAGCTTAGAGGGGCTCTGAAGGTAGCTGCTCTCAAAGGTCCTGGCTTTAGAGAGTACCTTGATGACATTGCTATTCTTACTGAAGGTATGTATAAGTCTGTATTTTTTTTATTTGCTCCTCTTTTTAAATTATATTTTGTTTTATCATCCTTATTTTTTCCTATGCATCGGACATTGTTCCCAACTCTCTCTCTCTCTCTCTCTCTCTCACAGCTGTGCAGGCATGCACACACACACACACACCACTCATGCCCAAATGTGCACTTCAACATTGTAGTTTAATTTATTGAGAGATTTCTTCCACTTGCAAACAGGTGCTGTAATCAGAGATGAGGCTGGGCTTTCCTTGGACAAAGCTGGCAAAGAGGTCTTGGGCCATGCTTCTAAGGTTATGCTTACGAAGGATACAACCACCATTGCAGGTGATGGAAGCACCCAGCAAGTGGTAAACCAACGAGTTGTGCAGATTAGAATTCTCATTGAGGTTGTCTTTTAACTTCATGCTAATACTAACAGACACACACACAAACATGCACACACTTTCTGTTTTTATCCAAGTCTTTCTTGTGGACTTCTTGTTCTTGCAATGCCTAAAACATTATTACTTCAATGCAGGCTGCAGAACAAGAGTATGAGAAGGAAAAACTTAATGAAAGGATTGCCAAATTATCTGGTGGCATAGTAGTGATACAGGTAATTTCTAGTTGAAGAAACGTTTTATGCTGTTTAGAAGGAAATTTGATCTGGGAAATTGTGTATGATATATATCTAATTTTGACGTAATGTTGTTTTGAAATTTAAAAGGCTGGAGCTCAAACTGAAACAGAGGTTAAAGAACAGAAATTGAGAGTAGAAGATGCTTTTGGTGCAACTAAGGTAATGCATCTCATAGCTTGTCATGATGATCTTATGTTGCAATTATTATCCTTGAGTACCATATAATACTGCATATTTCATCGACTTTCAGGCAGCAGTTGAGGAAGGTATTGTTGCTGGTGGTGGATGTACTTTGCTGAGACTTGCTTCTAAGGTGGTTGCTGTTAAGGATTCCCTTGGTAATGATGAAGAAAAAGGCAAGCTTGTCTTGAAGAACTTAAAAGAAGCTTAAACTATTTAATGGGAGATTTCAGAAATGTTTTTGCCGATGCATGCTCTTAGTAAATATCTTGATATGCTATAGGTTGGAGCAGATGTTATTAAAAGAGCTTTGAGTTACCCTCTAAAATTGATTGCTAAGAATGCTGGGGTTACTGGAAGTTTGATTAGCGAGAAGGCATGACTTATAATTGTGTCAAGTTACCATGAGCATTACACTTCCAGGTTATTCAGTTTGCTAACAAAAGTGCTTTTTGCTTCTTTTATTTAATTATTTGCTGGTGCTCTCCGATGATAATATGAAGAATGGATTCCAATGCTGCCACTGGAAAATATGAGATCTTATGGCTGGCAGGAATTATTCCTCCAACAAGGTTTGTTCCTTTATTGAGCTCTACATCTATTTTGTTGTATTTTACTCCATTTTAAATTGAATGTTCACTCTCTGCCTGTTATTATTAAATACAGTCTCTTGGTCAATAAAGGAAAATACTAACATACTTCAATTGCATATTTGACATGTAAAAATGGTTTGTTCAAATGATTGTTTCTCTTCTTTTATTCTTTATTCATCTTTCAGGGTTTTCTAAGTGCATTCTCTCTATTCCAATTTTCATTAATTGTTTCTTTATGATATTCAAAGCACCGGTTTTGTTTTGGGCCACCAATATAAAATTTCTGGCTTTGCCCTATTGCTTGTACATTAAAGCAAGTTTGTTTAAGAAATATGTTCCCAACATCAATTATATTTATCACTTATAAACAAGAGAAGTTACAGAAGAAAACTGAGAAATGTTCACAATTTTCATAATTTAGGTGGTTAGATGTTGCTTGGAGCATGCAGCTTCAGTGGCCAAGACTTTCTTGATGTCTGATTGTGCAGTTGTTGAGATTAAGGAACCTGAGCCTGTGCCTTCTGGCAACCCCATGGATAATACAGGTCTGCACGTGAGAATTTAAAAGGTTGACTAGAAATGCAATACTCTCTTGTTCTTTCTTTTGTACATGTTATATCTACTAACATGTTGGGTCGTCAATTATAGCATTAGGTATGCATCAATAAGTTAATGGTTGTTTTATTGTTGTTTCTTGTCCCATAGAAAGTGATTGGTGGTAATATTGATCCTGAATTTATTTTTGTTTCCTTCTGCTTGTGGTTTATAAAACAATTGTGCTTGAGAATTAGAAGCATCTTATTTCAGATGTTAATTATGCATCTTTATGTTCTATTTTGGTCTCATAGAATCAACCAAGAAAGAGACAATGTTCTGTGGTCTATGAGTAACTTGACCTCGTCATTGGATTCCCTTCACATTTCTAGGAAATTTATTATCTTATAGAATGCATCTTCCTCTTGGAGCCAGCTGCTTAAAACAATGACTCTTTCAAATGATGCATTCTTGTTACTAATGGATTTCGAAGGCTGATTTCTCTCTTTCACTTTGAAGTTGCATAAAGTAAGAATCTTTCTTGTTCTGGCTAAATATGCTGGTAAACTTGCACTGTACTTTCTTGAACGCATTGTGTTGTGTGGTTAAGCTTGCTTGAATATGCTCTAGTATTGAGTTTATATGGAATTTGCTACTATGAGATTTGAAAGTTGCAACTAATAAAATTATAAAGGGATGAGGATGTATCCTACTCTTATAAATGTGTAATTTGCCATTAGGAGTTTGCTACTGTGACATGTATGTTTCTCTGCTGTTGATTGATTTAGCAAGAATGTGAAATCACTGCTGTGAACGGACTAGATAAATTGACAATTGACATTCCCTTTGCATTCCCCATTTTCTTTTACTATGAATATCAGGATCCTACAACTACGTGCAGAACATGATTGGGCCTTTCCCTCATTGGTTGTTGATATAAATGATGATCTGAGCCAAAATGATGAGAAAGAGATTGATGTAAGTTCAGAGTTCAAAGAATGAATAATTATGAGGGTTTGATATGTATTGTTTTTTCATATTTGTTCTTTATTAGGTGGACACTAATTTGTATCCTGCTTGTCTATGATAACTTTATGCAAAGTAGAAAAGCTTATGAAGAAAACACCCAAAATAAAAGCGATCCAAAGCTTGGACCTGATGCTTGCCAAAACCATTGGTTAGTGATCCTTTTTTATAGGAATTTGGTTGCATTAACACCATCTACCTTGAAGCTTTATGGCTCTTTAGCTAGATGCCTGTGCCACATGAAGCTTTGGAATTGGAGGGGCCTTAATGAAAAAACCTTGGGGCCACTCAGAGGATTGATGATTTATCCTTCATGGTTGCCTGCCTGCCTGCCTGCTTGGTGTCTGTGGAATGGGAGTTCTACATCTGCCATTGTTAGTAATTAGTTGGGTGTTCAAAGACACATGCCCAGTTGATTATATCTTCTTTAGGTTTTCTTCTTTTATCTTAGGTGTCATTTAAGATCTGAAGTTTATCTGCAAGTATTATAACATACATATATGATCCTCCACCTCAACCTTGTTTTATCTGATGTGCTGATTTGACAGAATGTGACAATTCACAATTTAATACATTTGTAATTAACTCGTAAGTTTGTAACAAAGATGAAACCAATGACTTAGTATGAAATAGTATTGAGCAATTCACCATTAATTGGAACAATTTGCATATTTTGATTAGTACTAGTACTAGAGCTGCTTATTTCTTATAACTGATGCCCTTTGTTGATGCGAAAGGAGCTTAAAAGGTTGGTGGCTTGTAGGAGGTTACTTACACACACTTGTCCAACTCTTGGAAAATGCTTTCTTGTTTTTCTGCTAGCACATGTTTCTAAACCCATGCTTATTTTAATTTTTATGTGGACATATTCATCACTGATGCTTGGACTGTATCCAAAATAGGATTCAATTAAACCATGTCATTTCTACTTAAACCATCAATTTCAGGAATTACAGGGTCTTCCATAGTTGCTTGATCTTGCAGCATAACCTCCAACTTTTATATGCATATATTGAAGTGCTAATTTGCTCACAATTTTCAAATAGGTAACATGATTGCACTAACACCATACTTATTTAAATTTTTGTTATAACATGTAAGTCATAGAATCAATTCATTGGACACAACACATGAACTTGTCATTAATCTTTTTTATCTTTGTATGGTTCGTCTTGTAAGTGAATCTATCATTTTTAAAGAAATCTTAAATTTGACAAAAGGTCTCTTAAAAAAGAAATTATAATATTCTAAATAGAATTAGATTTGAAATTTTGGTTACATATAAAAAAGTTTATAATACTTTCATAGTGCCAATCTTAAAATGGTATCAATTAACCTTAAATTATCTTATCTAACCTTTCATTAACATAGTTCTAACTTATTCTTATTAGTTATTATTTACTAATTAATTATTAATATTGATATTTAAATATTAAAAATATTTGTACATATTGATCGAATTTTAAAAATATTCTTCATTTCAAGAATATCCAAGTAATATGTCAATTTCTTTTAAAAAGACTCTATTGTTAGATTTATTAAATATTTTATTAAAAAAATATAAATATATGATAATACATAGTCAAATTTATAATAATCAAATATAAAATTAAATTCAAAATTTAGTACATGTAATCATGATATATCCAATAATTAATCTTGCAAGAAAATCAAATCATCACATTTATTTCTAATTTTAATTTTTCTTAAATTTAAAATAAATAAAATTAATATAAATAAACCAATTTATAAATCTTTCAACATCTTGATTGAATTTAAAAAAAGTTATTTCACCTAAAAATTTTTAAAAAAATTACATTCTCGTAACTTTCTTAGAATTTTAGCATTAGTTGAAACTTCATTTATTCTTAATTATTTTATATTTTACAATTTAAACAAATATTAAAAAATACTTTAAACATTAAAACAAATAAATTAATTAATCAAAACAAATGAAGTAAAATACATAAATTAACCAAATATAAATAAATAAATAATCAAAATAATAAAATAAAAAACAAAAAAAATCGAAAATAAGAAAACAAAGATAAGCGGAACGAGTCAGATTTACCTTTAAGTCTGCACATGGTCTAGTCAGGTTGGACCGTTGGTCTACAAAATTTTTAAACTTAAAATGTTATAATAAGAGTATTTAAAGCTTTTTCATTTTTCTCACTCTACCCCTTCCTTTTTTTTTCTCTCTACTTTCTCTCTAAAAGATTTTGAGTACTAGCAAAAAAGTCTTAACATAATCCAAATTCTAACGAAAATCTCAAAATTCAATAATACATCATAGAAAACCTAGAAAAACCCAAACCTAGAAAATTTCAAAAAAGGCCCAAACCTAGAAAAGCCCAAAAAAATTTCCTAAACCCAAATTTTGATTTACTTTTTCATTTCCTTATATCAAAACTTTGTACATCACACCCAATCCTAAAATCAAACTGAAGAATTTATTTCAAAAATTAAAAAAAAAAAAACTACTATAAATTTTTTTACTTTATTTCTCTTCTCTGTTAAATGTTGATTCTCCTTTGTGTTTGATTTAGATTCTTTAAATAAGCATTCAATCTTAACCTAAAAGAACGAGAACTCTAACAATTTTTTTCTCACTAGAATTCAGTCTAAGAATTCAACTCCAATTCTTATTAATTTTTTTTTCCAAAAATGAGACTAAATGCGTTAGCCAAGTATTTGAATCATATTGAACATAATAATTTCAATCCAACATTCTTTTAGGAATTTTAATCATTTTCCAATTTTTTTTTTAATTTTGGACAATTTTCTTTCTTTTTCTTTTTTTTTTAAATACAATAAATAAAAATCAATCAATCAAAATACAAATAAAAAATCAAAAAATAAAATAAAAATAAAATCTTAAAACCTAATCCTAAAATACAAATTAAACTCTAGACTAAATAAGATGCTTACAGTTTCCTTCTTTACACATTTCTGTGAAATAGGTTTTGCACAAAATATAAATAACTATTATGTCTAGATCTTAGTCAACCCAAACAAATTTTTTTCCAAAAAGGCTCCTTTAAAAAAGGTTCAACAATTTCAAAAAATATAAAATACTCCTCTCATCAGAGATTCAACTACTTCGAACACATAAAAGGCTTACCTTAACCAAGGTTTACCAGTTTTTCTTGAAATCATCTCTTCAAAGTTTCCCTCAATCGAATATTAAAATTCATCTTCACAAGATCCTCCTTATATGAGAATCAAAATCTCATCAAAAGGTTTTATCTTTGCTAAAATTTTCCTCAATCGGGAATCAATACCTTACTCATTCTTTTGGAAATTTTCCCAATCAAGAATCAAATCTTTATCTTCAAAAATTATCCTCCACCTAAGATTAAATTCTCTTTTTTTAAAAAATAAAATCTTCAAGTAAAAATATTTCACATTTTCTTTGATCTCAATTTCAAGATCCAAGACCATAATTTCTCATCAAACAAATGCCATGAATGCAATGCTATGAATGTAATGTCATGAATGCAACTTTAATTTTGGCAAAAAATTTCTAACAATCCTTTCAATATCTTCATTCTTCAACTTCCAATTCTTTTTTCATCTCATAGGCAATCATAATTGCCCCCAGATCTCTGGTTAGGTTCATCATTCAATCTCATAATTCATACTCTCATTTTTTTTAGAAGTAAGAAAAAAAAAATCTTGAGTATTAATGTCTTACCAAGCCTTTTACTTTAATTTTATTTTTTTTAATCCCTATCTCCATCATCTTTTCAAAATAGTACATGGTTCTTTCATGTTATCATTCATTTATTCATCATCATTTTAATTATGTGACAAATTCAATGCAATTATCCATTTCTTATAATCAATAAAAGATAAAAAAAGATAGATATGTGGAAAAAATAAAGAAAGAAAATGCTTTTTATTGAAAAAAAGGATAACAAATCTGTCAATAGACAGAAATAAGGCAAACAAGTTACAAAGTAAGTATTTGAATAATGACACAGTTCCCTAAATAAATCAATAATCATGAACAAATAAATCTAAGATTCTCTTTTAAAAGTCTATATAACTGATGTTCTTAATCCTTTAGAGTTTATTAAACCATTCTTGCCCCTGTAATTTGAGATTCCAAATGATGCTTCACTTTTCTCATACCTAAAATGCCTTTTCAAGTTTTCAACTTAGACATCCTTTCTTTTACTCAAACTGTACTTTTCAAGTTTCCAATTTTAATTCACCTTTTCGTGTTTTTCTTTCCTTTTTTCTTTTTATGCAAAATACTTCTTCATAATATCAAAGTTTATTGGCATCACCATCTATTTATGCTAAGATCAATGCTCCTTACAAAAAAGCTTTCTTCACCACATATAGACCTTCTAATGGTACTAATCAATCAAATACAAAATTTATGATATATATACATACAAATTCATGATAATATATATTGTCAAATTCATAATAATCAAATACAAAATTTAATACAAATTTAATAATTAACCATGCAAGAAAATCAAATCATCACAATTTATTCTCAATTTTAATTTTTCTCAAATTATAAATAAATAAAAAATTTTATATTGTGACCTTCTAAATCCTCTAATGCCTCGATTGAATTTAGAAAAAGTTCTCTCACTGAGAAATTTCAAGAAAATTACACATCTATAACTTTCTTAGAATTTTCTCATTGGACGAATTTTAATTTATTCCTAATTATTTTATAGTTTACAAAGTAAATAAATATAAAAAATACTTTAAATATTAAAATTAATTAATTAATTAATGAAATCAAATAAATTAAGATACATAAATGAACTAAACATAAATAAATGAATAATCAAAACAATAAAAGAAACAAACAATAAAATAAAAAACAAATAAAAAAGATAAAAAAATAAAAAAATAAAAAAAATGAAATAGGTTGGACTTACCCTGGGTCAGTGCATGGGTCTAATCAAGTCAGGCCACGAGTCTACAAAACTTTTTAAACTTGAAACGATGCTATTTCAAGGGGTATTTAAAGCTTTTTTCAAATTTTCACTTAATTTTCCCTTTTTTCTCTCTACTTGATTCTCTCTATTTTCTCTTTAAAAACTTTGAATATTAGTCAGAAAACCCCACACAACCCAAATTTCGAAAAAAATCTAAAAATCGATAATAAATGGTAGAAATTGATGACAAAAATTTTAAAAATTGCATCAAGAAATTTAACCTAAATCAAACAATCAATCAGAAACTTCAACCTTGTTGGAAACTTCGATTAGAAAGTTCAAACAAACCTAGAAAATTCTAAAAAAAAAACTAGAAAACTTAGAAAATACCTCTAGACCTAGATTTTGATTTTTTTTTTCGTTTCTCTAGATCAAAACTCTCTAAATCACACCCAATCCTAAAATCAAACCAAGGAATTTACCCCAAAAATAAAAAAAAAACATTGTTAGCAAATTTTTTACTTTATTTCTCTTCTCTTGTGATTATTGATTCCTTTTGTGCTTGAATGAGGTTTTTTAAATAGGTATTCAATCTTAACCTAAATGAACAATAACTCTAACAATTTCTTTCTCACCAAAATTCAAGTTTAGAATCCAACTCCAATTCCTATTTGGGCTTTTCCAAAAATGAGACTAAATGCATTAACCAAGTATTTCAATCTTACTTAACATAATAATTTCAATCCAACATTCTTTTGGGAATTTTAATGCTTTGTCAATTTTTTTTTTTATTTTGAACAAATTCTCCTTCTCTTTTTTTTCCTCTTTTTTAAAATACAATAAATAAATAAATAAAAATAAAATAAAATAATCAAAATATAAATAAAATATCATAAAATAAAATATCAATACTTAATCCTAAAACACGAGTGACCTTTGAAATAAATAGTTATTGCAACGTTTCAGAATCAGGAAGTGCCTATCCATCAGACGAATAGGGAATGAGAAAAACAAGAGTCTTAAGAAAGCATTTTTTGTAAAAATCAAAACAAGAAGTCGCCACTAATTATTTTATGGTATAACTGACTACCCAAAAGTTTT